TTGCCATGTTAACCATTTTTTTTGTGTGTGTGTGTGAGGAAGATCAGCCCCAAGCTAACATCTGTTGCCAATCCTCCTCTTTTTGCGAGGAAGATTGGCCCTGGGCTAACATCTGTGCCCATCTTCCTCTATTTTATATGTGGGACACCTGCCACAGCATGGCTTGATAAGCGGCACATAGGTCCTCACCCAGGATTGGAAACTGTGAACCCTGGGCCGCCGAAGCAGAGCACGCGAAATTAACCACTATGTCACTGGGCCAGCCCCAAAATGGCAATTTTTAAGCTATGTATTTTAACACAATTAAAAAAAAGAAAAAACCAAGTGGAGGGCTGGATTTGTCACCATGTTTTCAGATCCTTGATGCAGGGGTCTGCACCTGTCTTTGCCTTGCTGTTGACTATTGATGGAAGGTTTTGGGTCTGTAATGTTTTCTCCATGTTAACTTGCAAGTTTTTGTCAAGCAGAGGGCAAATGATTTCTCTGAGGTAGAAAAGATCATTGTGGGAGATCAGAATTGGCCACCTCAAAATATGTTCTCTTTATGTTGATTATTTTCTCTGAAGGACATTTGACCTTCCCCCAAACTGCCTAAAAGCAATAGACTGGGAGGGTCCTTGCTAAGCCCATTCTTATCAAAGTTCTGTTTAAGGGAAACTCCATTGGTAAAGGTATATCTTCTCTGTACCAGGAAGGAGTGGGGATGACCTTATCTCTAGAAACTCTTATCAGAGCGGAAGGTGAGGCCTTAAATCTGCACACTCTTGATCGCTGTGCTTTCCGGTCATCTCCCATAGCCGACTCCCCACCCCCAACAGCCTCCTTTGTCTACATGAATATGCCATTTACGGTGAACACCTCCGCCATTTGTCGAGTATCCCAGCTTTGCCTGGGTCTCTCCCATGTATATATGTTATAAAGCTTTGTTTGATTTTCTCCTGCTGTTCGGTCTCATGTCAAGTTAATTTGCAGCCCAGCCAGAAAGGACCCAGGGTGGGTCAGGGATAGTCTTCCTCTCCTTCATCATCAAAGGTTAAGGTTTTGTCATGGAGGACAATAACCTGTTTTGTATCTGACCAACCAATCTTATTCTAACATTCTTCTTTTCAAATCTCTATAAATAACAGATTCCGCAAATTCTACCTAGGAAACACCTTACTGTCCTGCTGGTTCTCTCCTTAATGAATTAAATAATCCTCCAGCCCAGGTTTTTTCCATATTTGTATAAGAGTTAGTTTCCAACTTTTTGAAATTACACTCAACACCACTGAAGTCATGATGACACAAGAATGTGGCCATCCACCTGTTTTAGGGCACAGGAACCACCCCACACCCCCCAGCCCCTGTGACAGACACTACTAATTGATCACAGAACCCTCAGAGCTCTTGGCTAAGGCTCTGGGTGGCCACGACCAGTCTCTTAGAAACGACACCCATTCACCATTGCTTTTGTTGAAGGTCGCAGCAGTACTGGCACCCTGTCTGGGTGGGTGGGTGGCATCTCCGTGGAAGGTGGTGTGTTTTTCACGTGTGTTGGGGGGATCTTCCTCTTCATTCAACCTCCTTTCAACAAGTTTCTTTATTGCCTCCTGGGCCTTAGGCTGAGCAATGGAGGTCAGAGATGAACAGGACTCAGTCCTTGCCTTGGGAGGTTTGCTCCTTCCCGGAGGACAAGGAGCGAGTGGTTCCAGTGGAGCCAGACTGGCCAGTTGAAATCCTAGAGCTGTCACTTCTTAGCTGTGTGACCTTGGGCAAGTTACTTCACTTTTCTGGCCCTCACTTTCTTCTCCCATTAAGTGAGAGTGCTAGGAACCTACCTCATAGGGTTGATGTGGGCGTAAGAATTTCTTCCCATAAAGAGCATTGTGTGCAAATAGCAAGTGCAGTCGATTCTGGCTATTCATGGTCCTTATATTCTACAACATAGCCGCAGACACGGAATTAGTGGATACTGAACTGTTGCTCCAGGGGAAATACAGGGTTAGGTTTCTGCCACACTGTGTCACGTTTTTGTCAACTGTTCGGTACATAACCTTGTTTTATGTGTTTCTGTTTAAAGACACCTCACTTAATCTATATTGTTGATTCATTAACATTGAACCTACGCCAACAGCACAATAACTTACGCCTAACAAAGGGCATCTGACACGCATTTTCTCCGTTGGCACATGGCAGCCTTCTTTCACATAGGGACACTGGATGGCACTTCAGCTCTATGCTTAGGGGCCATTTTAAACAGTGAAATCAGCAACAAAAAGCACAAAAATGAAAAAATGTGACACTAAACAGACCACAAAGACACTTGTTTACGGTAGGAGAGCTGACACAAGCAGAGGGTCGCCTGGTTCATCTACTGATGGGAATGTACACCTCAGGCGACTGAAGTTTTTGGCCACTCTGCACATATTCGTGAATGACCACGCATGTGAGTACTGATCTGGGGGTTACATAAAATTTAGGAAGTAGGCAAATTCGCAGATATAGAATCTGAATAAGGAGGACTGACTGTACATACAGGCGTTGGCAGTGTTAAACAGAGGAGGGCAGGAACCTGCGAGATAACTAAGCAGCCCAGGGTGGGGGCCTGGACACGCCTAGCCTCCCATCACTTCCTCCTTTAGGGACTCAGTAATCTTTTCCAAAGGCACATCCCATCTCCATCTGCCCCTCCTAACTTCTGCCTGGTCATTCCTTGAGCTTAGAGTGAAGACCTCCTTCCCAGGCTGGGCTGGGCTGGGCTCCTGCGGGCTGGCGTATCTCCGGGCATCGGGCTCCCTCTAGCAACCTTGGCCCCACCTGTTCTCCGCCCTTGCCCTCTCCTCAGTTGCAATTTTACCTTCATTTGTGCAATTATTGCCCATCTTGCCCCCTACCCCCACCACTGAACCGGAAACTCCTAAAGGAGGGGACTTTCTCTTTCTCCCTGTGGCAACTGCAGGTGCCTGGGTGCAGTAGGTGTTGAATAAACACTCATTGAGTAAACGAGGGACTGGATGAGGACTTCAGGGGATGGGGGGCAGGGGGGACGGGATCCTATGGCTGACCGTGGGGCACTGGGAGAGCTCTTCCGGGGAAAACAAGGGTGGCGGGCCAGAAGGCTCCTTGTCCCTTCCAGCTCTCATGGCTTCTGGCCCCATTCCAGAGTAGGGAGCCTGCATGTCCTGGGGCCTGGAGGAGGGACTGGATGCAGGGGAAGTGCTCCCAGGAGATCCTGAGTCGGTTCCCCGCAGAGCATCAGGCCGTGCAGCCCCTGGGCCGCTCTGTTAAGGCAGCAGGGAGGTCCCCGGGCAGAGAGCCTGTTCGAAGGCTGGTGCAACCATCCAGGGCTATTAATGAAGGCTGGGGGCGGCCAGGAGGAGGACTGTTTAGAATTCTGCATTTGCAAAAGCAATGTTTTAATGCAATAAGCACAATTCACACTAGTACTCAAGGTATACAGTGAAAAGGACTGACTCGCCCAAAGCAGCCACTCTTCACACTTTCTCCTGTGAATGAGAATCCTGCCTCTTTCTCTTGCTGGCTGTGTGACTTGGGTCACATTACCTAGCTTCTCTGGGCCTCAATTTTCTCATTTGTAAAACGGGAATATAATAGCAAGTACCTCATGGAATCAGTGTGAGGAATAAATGAGTTAATAAATGGGAGGACCACTGCCTGGCAGTTGGTAAGCAGTGGGTCAGTGGTTATAATGACACTGTGCATGCGTATATGAATAGCACTATGTATCATCTATGTATACATGTACATAAACCTATATACACACGTAGGTATTGTATACACACACACCCCTCCAGTGACTTTCTAAAATGACAAATTGTAGCCTAGGTCACTGTTCTGCACCTTGCTCTTGCTTAGTTATAAACTTTGCAGCACTTTACATCTGAGCACATGTATGTTTAATTCTGTCTCTAAGAATCTGCTGTGTATTACTCCATAGAAAGGATGCACTGGGGCCGCCCTGTGACGCAAGTGTTTAAGTGCGGTGTGCTCCCCTGCGGCGGCCCAGGGTTCATCAGTTCGGATCCCGGGTGTGCACCAACGCACTGCTTGTCAAGCCATGCTGTGGCAGCATCCCATATAAAGTGGAGGAAGATAGGCACAGATGTTAGCCCAGGGCCAGTCTTCCTCAGCAAAAAAAGAGGAGGATTGGCAAATGTTAGCACAGGGCTGATCTTCCTCACAAAAAAAAAAAAAGAAAAAAGAAAGGATGCACTATGATTTCTGTCACCTCCTTTCCTCTCTGATGGACTTGTGGGCTATTTCCTAGGTTTTGGTGCAATTTGGCGGACAATTTGTTACTATGGAATGCAGTTTTAAATGCATAACCTCTGACACAGCCCTTTCTAAGGGCTCTTGCTAAGAATTTATTCTATCCAGTCCCCAGCTCTGGGGTACACACACGCCATGTCCCAGGTATTAATGACGGCTATGGTAAACGTGCACCCCCAGGATGCGCAGACAACGGACGTGGGGGAACGCTGCAGCGGGAGAACCGGCCGGGGATCTACCGGCGGCCAGCTCGAGTCCCTCGCCAACCCAAGCAGGGGCGGGCCCGCTACTGGCCCGGCCCAACCAACTG